TTCCTTCCTTCCTTCCCTCCCTCCCTCCTCTTTCTATGTCTGTCTGTCTCCTTCCTTCCTTCCTTCCCTCCCTCCCTCCTCTTTCTATGTCTGTCTGTCTCCTTCCTTCCTTCCTTCCTTCCTCTCCTCCTCCTTCTTCTTCTTCTTTCTGTGTCTCCTTGCTTTCTTGCTTCTGTCTGTCTCTCCCTCCCTCCTTCCTTTGCTCTCTCTTTTCCTTCCTTCCTCTTCCAACTTGTGCAACCGAAAATCGGAGCTTCTGCAAGGAAGGATTGGAAAGAAAGGAGAGGGGAAGCCTTCCACGAAATCTCCCAGAAGCCCTTAATCTAAGGGGCAGCAGGGAGAAAGAGCGAACACACAGCCTGCAGCGCCGTTGCAGAATGCACCCAAGGGGATCAGAAAGCTAAGCAGGGTCGGCCGTGGGTGGGGTGTGGAGGGGGCCTTCTAGCACATTGGGGGTGCAGGCTAAGTGGGCAACTCGGGGGAAACCCATCCGGGAAAGCGAGGGGGTTCCACTTCAGCCACACGCGGAGAAAACTGCACAGGTGTGCCCGTGTTCAAAAAAGGAATTTGTGAATGCACTAATTGGGGAATGACCGCGCCATAGGGGGTTGTTCTGCAAAGGCACCTTTGCTCTTGTTCCCCTAGCCCCCCCCGTGCCAGCCCACCGCCAGGGTCTTAATCACAGGATGTCACTCAGTCGTTGCCCGTTGCAGCCGCTGTGCTCCACAAGGGCGCTGGGTTGCACAGGGCGTTGGTGCCAAGCAGCCCCCCCCCCCACACACCCGTGTGACGTGCTCCCGGGGTTTATCCGCTCCTGGTGGCCACTCTGCCAGTCGTCTTGCATCTGGCCCTGACAAAGGGGGTGCCTGAAGAAATGAGTCTTGGGCCAGGCGAGCAGGAAATCAGGGCCCCTGGGAATTCGGGGACCTCCAGGGCAAAGCGAGCGCTTTTAATTTGCAAGGATTCACATCACAGCTCCCGTCAAACCCTTGTTCTCCGAGCCCCCGGAATCTGCAGAGCCGAAAGAGGGGAGGGCAACTAGTAAAAAGTGTTTTCCTTTTCCAAGTGTCTCCCACAACTGCTGTCACCCTGTGGGGAAGATGCCAGAGTTGCATTTATTTATTAAATCGATTTATATAACCGCCCACCTCAGTATGTGACTCTGGGCGGCTCAGAACAAATAAAATTATATACAAATACAAAATAAAACGAGAAATAAAACACACAGCAGCTAGAGAATCATAAAAAAAAAAAGCCCTCAGCCCCGCCAGGAAACCAGGTAGTTTCATTTGTTTTTAAATAGCGTTCATTGCATTTTGATTTTTCTAGTAGTTTATACGATTTCTCCTGCTTTGGGAGAGTTGTTAGGCTGAAAGGGTGAATATAAGGAAAAGCCATGAATAAATGCACACACCTTAATGGTTTTATTTTTCTGTTTTTAATTTTTTTGCTCGGATCTATGTTCATTTCACGTTTATATCCGGGGGCCCGTCGCTTGGACCGCCCACCAACTTGGCCATTCTTCCCGGAGAGGGGGGCGGCGTATAAATTGCAACGACAAAGTGAAACTCGTACTGCTTTAAATTGCTATTAAAAAAGACTCACGATAGCTCTTTACTTAAAAAAAAAAAAAAATCTCTTGTGATCCAGTTTCAAAAACGGAACAAAAGCTCATTCCTGCCTCTGAATTGGTGAAAAGTGAGGAAAAGGTGCGTTGCCTTTGCTTCGTTGACTGGCAAGCTGGCTGCCTCCCCTCCCCTCATAAACTCCTATTATTGAGTTTACTTCCGCAAGAAGAACGGGCTCGGGATTGTCATAAATAAATCAAAATAAGTAGTTAATGTTGAAAAGGCTGGTAGGAGATTGATGGCTTGGAAGAAGAGCAGAAACGTTTAATAAATAGTCTTCCGCATCTTGGTTTTTCCCTGTCTTTGGAAAGGGGGAACAATAGAACTTGATCCAAGATGGTTTTCCCCTAGTTTTTAAAAATAACCGAAACGAGCATCCGGCCCTTCTGTCTGGAAATGCATTGAGGGGTGCTTAGAATAATGCAGAATATGTTTCTCACTTTCTTCTGTCGCTCCCACATAGCCTTTTTAGAAACCTCTGTCGGCTTCTCTTCGTAAAGGGCCTCCCTCTGCTTTTTTTACACCTCATAAGGTCTGGAAACTTGCCTTTTCCCTCTTGCTTTCAGGAGAAGAGAAAAGCCCTCGTAGATCCTGTTCCAACCTCAACCTTGGCCTGATCCAGGCCAGATTCAGCAAACCACAGCTTGAACCCGGTTCTTCTCCCTGCCTTGGTCCACCTTGGTCACTCTGCAGCAGGGAGGTCCTGATTCTTTATAGCAGGGGATTATGATGAAGATGGGGGAGATCTGATTTATCAGTCGGCTGCAATTACTGCTTTATTACTTGCAGATCCAGCTTGCTTGCTGAGGGTGGACGTGTCCACCATTGCAATTTCCTGCCTGTTCTAGCCTTGAAATAAAAATCTGTTCGGGGAGCAGCTTCCCCCTCCATCCCACCCCCAACACTCATCTGGAAACTACCTTCTAAGCAAGCTTCAGGTGGTAATATATCGTACCCCTCTCTTTGTGTTGAACTGCTAACATGCAAGGGGCTAGCCCTCCTTTTCTCTGGATAAAAGTCTAGGAAAATAAGCTTGTTTTCTTCTGTTCAGCCTCTTGGGTGGCGCACGTGCCTGATTTTTTAAACGTCTCGTTTGCAGAAGAACCGCTTTACGTTTGGGGGGGTCTTCTCTGAATGCACAGGGGGCCCGTCTTTCTCATCCGTTCCTGTTCTCTCTTTTCTGGGTGCAGAGAAGACGAAGGTGGCTGAAGACGGTGTCCCCGTGAGCAGTAGCGAGGAGGAGGAAGGAGAATATGAAGTGGACGACGAGGAAGAGGAGGCGGAGGAAGAGAGCTTGAGCGATTCAGATGGTAAAGAATTCGAAGCCTTCCTTGCCGTTCTGCACGTGGCGGCCAAGGGGGATCTGGCCATCCGTGGTGGAGCTCCTGAGGCCCCCGATAGTTTTGCTCAACGCGGTTGGGCTTGATGCAAGGCTGGAAGGGAGGCCTCTCCGCACTCAAGCTGAAACATTCCCCAAGCGCATGTCTTCCTTCGTCTCCTAAGGCAGTTTAGGCAGCTGGAGGACACCGGCCAGGGGGGTTAGTCCTGGGGATCTGTTCTGCGCCTGCAGTTCGACCCGTGTGATTTTGAGCACTACGGGGAGGGTGGGGCTGCTGTTCTGTTCCTCAGGAGCAACCTTTCCCACACCTTCTGTAAACCTTTGGACCACCATCTTGAGCCATCTTGTTGCCCAGCATCAGGAAAAACAAGCCAGAACCCCCACCCCACCGAGGTTTAGCTGTCCAGGTGGTGGCAACTCCACACTTTAGTTTTACTGTTCTCTGCAAAGATGCAACTACATAAACGTCCCCAGATCCCAGGACCTCTCCGACGATGCCAGGGCTCTCTTGGGGGCAAATCATCTTGGAGGAACAGCTGGTGCTGTGTGTGTGTGTTGGGGGGGGCACGTGCTTCGTCTGAAAATCCCCCAGCTCCACCTCTCTGGCCTGGACCAGGACACCAGCTGCCGAAGCCCCTGGGGGCTCAGAAGAGGGTCAGTGGGGACCTTGAAGCAGGATCAAGGCTGGTGGGAGAGGCGTAGGGGGTGTCCCAGTGAATATCCTCACCCCCAGCCAAAAAAAAAAAACACCCCCAAACAAAACCCCTCCAGGAGACTATCTTTGGGGAGCCTGTCTTTGTCCTTCCTTTCTCATTAATTCAGAGTTTGGCTTTTGCATAAACCAACTCTAAGGGCTCAACTCTGCTCATTAGCTGTGCAGTGGGAGAGATGCTTTCAACCCCCCCCCCCACAGCTACGCTTTGCTTCCCTTCCCACCATTTCTCCCCCAGCTCTGCAGTGAAAAGTCGGCGCGGTGCCCAATTCTCGGGAGCAGATGGCAGAGGCTTGGCATGCCAGCCTCAGTGCCGTTGCCCAGAATAGACCGAAGGCAGAGGCCAGAGCGGACAACGGCTGGCACCCTTTGGCGGGTTTGTGTGCCAGCTCCCAAAATAATTTCTCTCTGGGGCTGCCAGAACGTTGGAGGGGGGGAAAAGCTGCCCCAGCAGCCTCGCTCAACACCTCGTGCCGACTCTTTTGGGGTGGCGGTTCCGGTTTCCATTTTCCTGCTTTGTTTTCCACTCGGCCCATGCCATCCCCTCCTAATGAGCTTTGTAGAGCAAAATCCTGAACGTGGAAGGACCGTAATCTGGCCCAAATTTCACTGGCAAAACCCTCGTTTTGTTGGTAGGCAGTCCTGAATTTCAATGCCCGACGTTTCTGATTAAGATGGAGAGATGTTCCTGGCTGAAATCAGGCTGGGGTAGAGCAGGTGGAGCCCCTCTGGCTTGGGGATCCCACACAGCCTTCATCCCCGGTGGTGAGGGTCTAAACTACAGGATGGTGAGAGGGCCATGTTCACTTCGGATTGGGAGAATCCCCGTCACCTCTGCAGAAACCAGATGTAAGGTGGCCTCAAGCAGAACCAGTGACATGGGACCTGCACGCCCGTGTTGCATCTTTCATGTGGCCCCTCTGCTACAACCAAGCCCGTTTGATTCTCCCCTGGTCATTCTCTGTCCCTTTCCCTCTGTCTGGGGTGGGCAGGTTGATAAACCCACATTGTCCACTTTTAGGTTTTCCCACCTAAACCTTTTGGCCACCGCGAGGTCGTCTTCAGGTCCAGCTCTTTCAGGGAGTGGGGGGATGTGGGGACCGCCTCTTGGTTTTACAGAAAGGGTCTCCAACAGAAGAATGCAAATGAAGAGTCTGGCCAGGGGGCTTGGGGCATGTCCCAACCCCAGAGGACCCCCACCGTGTGCTTGAGAAGCACCACCAGAATGGCCCGTTTCAAGATGTGGGTGCTTCTAGAATATCTAGATTCACCTGCCAAGATTGGAACAGCCCATTCTTGGGGGGATTTTTCCCCCTTCCTCCAAACACTTGGAATGGAGTCCTTTGCCCCCTCGTTTCTAGGGTGTGTATCTTAGAAGCCTAACCCTTACAGGGTCACGTCACCCAAAAGAAAACGGGGGGAAATTAAGATTTAGACTGCCCTGTGTTAGAGAAACCCAGGTGTTTTTCTGTCCTGCAACCTCCCGCGCTCTGCAGATGTGGTGGTGCTGATCAATTAGCTAGCACTGGTGATTAATTAGCACCCAGCTGCCTTCTCTGTTCCAGCTTCCTGATAAGGTAGGACTGACACCTCCTCTTCCTTCCCTAGGTGGCGAAAGGGCCGTGCCCGGACGGGGCCGGAAACCGCTCTCTCGGGCAGAGCTGCAACAGCTGGCACAAGGAGGAGAGGATGTGGTGGAAGATTTAGACTTTTCCGATGGGGACTGATGGACGGGCGGGGGGTTGATCGGACAGCTGTTCCTGTGGGGGGGGCTGCATTGTTCAAGCTGGCCCTGAAGCAGAGCTTGTGCACTGAGGAGACACACAATAAAATGTGCGATCTGGCAGGGGAGCAGTAAAGACTCTGCTATGGCTGTAAAAGCTGCTGCTTCTAAACCTGGGCTTTTTAAGCCACCTCAAAACCCAGTCTCCACTGCTCCCCCATCCTCTTCTGGACTGTAGTCTTGCCCCCCCACTCAGTGCTGAAGATTCAGAGACCACCACCAATCTCCCACCAGTTACTGCATAGACACTTTTTTTTTTTGGAAAGACCTCCGTTTCCCTGCAAGTGCCCTTGGATCAAAGACGTTTCCTATTTTCTTGGCGCACAAGGCAAGAAGAGTCGGACGGCATCTCCAGAGCGGCATGATGCGTGCTTTGATTCCCCCCCACCCACCCCCATTCTTACAACTGCCCATTTTCATTTCTGCATGCGCGGAGGACTTGTTTGGAAGGGAAACGCCTGGTTTTTTTCTGTCATGGCAGAAACGGCGTGTAAAGCCAGCCAGCCGTGTGGATTTGTTTCTCCTGCATGGATCTCTCTGCGCTGGAACCGCGGAGGGCAACGGCCAGACCTTGAGGGAGCGCCGTTATCCCCTGTGGCTTTGACTGCATTGTGATCCATGCACGCATCCCTTTGTTGTCATTTGAGGTCGCCTGACAGATCAGATCTGTGCTGGCCAACCTTACAGAGGTTGCCTTGATCCCGAGCGTGTCAGGACCTGTTAGGTGAAGGAGCACGGTGCAGAGCTTGGGAGAGCTCCTTGAGCTTGGCTAGAGCAATGGGATGGAGCTGAAGCCCAGAGAACCCTGGTGGAAGACTTTGGAACCCATAAACCTCAAATGGTGGCTTCTCCAGCTTAAAGCTGGGGACAATACAACAGCCATTGAGGGCTACGGTGTCTTGGGTGAAGACCATCAATGGTAGCTGGTAGCCGCCTGTGTCACAAGAGTAGAAGCCTCAAGTTCAGGTGCGAGGGCAAGAGTTGAGGTGTCAGAAGAACCTAGACCAGTGTTTCTCAACCTCAAAAACTTGATGCGTGGACTTCATCCTGGCCGGGGAATTCTGGGAGTTGAAGTCCACGCATCTTCCAGTTCCCAAGCTTGAGAATCACTGATCCAATAAGATGGGTTACATTTACCCTTCTATCCCACCCCCCAAGTTTTATTGCCCACCACAAAACCGTCTCCCAGGAATGGACGTTCTGAAGGACACACCTTGACAAGCACCTGTTGTATAAATTGAACAAGTTCTCTGTTTTTATTATTTCAACTGCTTTGCTGGAAAGCCTTAGTTTTAAAGTGATGGATAATTTGACAATATATATATATATATATTTGTATGTATATATATATAGTAAGAAGCTAAGGTACCTTGGGTTGATTTTGTTGCTGCTGAAAATGCACAAGGGGGGGGAAGGACGCGTGGGTGTCTTGGAACAAGGCTGGCCTCACGTTCTTTCCCCCTCCCCACTGTACAAACTGGGGAGACACACACACACACACACACACACACACACACACACACACTGGTTGGTTGACAGCTGGTGAGGGCTACACACGGAGATCCAACACCCGGGTGCGGATGCCCGGGAAAATGTGCAATTTCGCATCCTCGGCCAGGCTGCCCTGCCTTAGAAACCACCCAGACACTCCTCGTGCGCAGAACCCCATTAAAAACAAGCATACCTCTGCATGTGCGCCCCCCCCGACACCCACTCGAGGAGGGGAGCAACAGGAACCCCCACCCCACCGACATCCTCCTCCTTTTCCTTCCTTCCTGCCTCCTTCCCAACCATTCCCCAGCAGGCA